CCAAGACCAGAAGAACTAGATGGTGCCTGGCAACCACCAACAACCACCCTGACAGGGAACACAACAGAGTCCCTGATGGAGCAGGAGAAAAGTGGGGTGCAGAACTCAAATTCTAGTAAAAAGACCAGACTTAATGGTCTGAGACTGGAGGAACCCCAGAAAGCACGGCCCCCGGACTCTCTGTCAACGCAGAACTAAACTTCCGAGGCCAACTCTTCAAACAGGGATTGTACTGGACAGTGGGACATAAGGTGATGCTTGTGAGGAGTGTGCTTCTTAGCTCAGGTAGATACATGAAACTAAATGGGCAGCTCCTGTCCTGAGGTGAGAAGAGAAGGCAGAGAGGGTCAGGAGCGGGTTGAATCGACACGGGAAATCGGGTGAAAGAAGGAGTGTGCTGTCACAGTATAGGGATAGCAAGTAGGGTCACATAACAATGTATGTATAAATTTTTACATGAGAGACTAACTTGAATTGTAAACTTTCACTTAAAGTACAATTAAAAAAAAGTTTATGAAAAATATTTTACAATGTGGGTGAAAGCCTACAGTGTCACGTTAAGTTGAAAATATCAGAGAATAAAAGTGTCTATAATGTTGATCAAAATCTTTTAAAAAAATAAGACGGAACAGAAATTGAAAAGAACATTAAAATGTTAACACTGGTTTCCTCATTTGGTAGAATTATTGCTGCTGTTTATTTTCTTAATTATACTTTTCTAAATCTTCTTAACTCTTAACAATCAGTGGGCATTTCACAATTAACCGGATGTAACAAAAAAATTAATGACCTGTACTGTGCCTCTGGAGTAAATCTCAAGACTACAACGCCCGGGGTACGTCCTGGTTAAACGTTTTCAGAGAACACTGGTCCCCTCTGGTCAAGAGAAGACGATATTTTTATGACAACAACCGGGGCGGGGGCGTGTCTTTGTCATCCCCGCCTCCTCGTCGGGGTCCCTTCCCGGTACTCACCTCACCCCGTTGGGCCTCTTCCTCAAGTTCTGCACCTCTCGGGTTTCTTCCAGTTTTAATCTGAAGAAGAACAATGCATGAGCTAAGAGATCCTCCCTGGAACCCGGAGCCAACAGGCAGTTCCGACAAGCACCCCTGCTGCGCTGGTGAGCCGCCCTCACAGTGGTACAGAGATCGACTCTGTGCCTAGACCCACTGGGAGTCAGACCCACAGCGCATCCCGGAAACACCTCTCCCAAACTATGCAGCCTTGGGCAGACGGCCTCACTCCTCCGAGGCTCCAATTCGTCCGCAGAAGTGGACAACAATCCCACCTCAGTTAGCGACGATGCCAGCGAAGCGCCTGGCCAGTGGCAAGTGCCCCAAGCCGGCCTCCCTCTTCCTGCCCCGGGGAAGCCCCGTCCCACACGCACCGAACCTCCTCTGAGTCCTGTTCATCTTCTTCTGACTCCGAGTCGGCCCGGCGCCGGCGGAAGGTCTTCCCGGTGGCCGGCATCGTTGCAACGCCCCCAAGGTCCCACGGCCGCTTCGCGGCGCTGAAGCCCAGGCTGCTTCCGGCGCGCTGTAGTGCGGTCAGAGCGTCGGCCCCCGCCAGGCCCCGCCCGGCCCCGCCCCCAGCCCGCACCGCTCGCCTAGCCTCGCCTTCGCCCTTTGCGTCAGCCTCTCTTGAATGGATTGCTGTGGGTGAGGAGGCGGGGCGCGGCCGACTGGGCCCCCAAGACGCGGCTCCGCTTCGCCGAGGGCGCGCTTGACTGACAGGCGGCGGCGGCGCGATTACGACGGCAGGTGAGTTCCGGGCCGCCGCTAGCTGTTTCAGGGGGCCGGGCCTCGGAGAAGGGGCGACTCCAGCCCGGCTCTGGGCCGGCGGGGCCTTGGCCCTGCCAGGTGCGCCAGACGCCGCGGCCAGGTGAGCGGAGCCCGGGATTCCCCGGCCGCCACTGCCGTCGCCCCCTCCCCTTTTCCGGCCGGCGCCCAGCCGGTTCTCTGGGGCCCCGACGCCCTATTTCGTAACCCCCTTTCCGAGGACGCGTTGCTTCTCTGGAACAGGGGTCGCCTATCTCTTTGATTTCTGTCCGGGGCCTGACCCAGCGTTGAAAGCATACGTGTGGCGTCTTGGGGCGCTGACTTTTCTTTCCCCGGGGTTTTGGGCCCTGACGTGCGGTTTTTCTTTAGGGACAAAAGATGATCACCTCTCCTTAACTGTGGTGAACTAGAATCCCAGCGCGGACTAGCCCCGCTAATAGTGGCCTCCGACCACTCCTCCTAGGGGAGAGGAGCGTTTGATGTTTTGAACCCTATGGGAGGGTTTGAGGCCAGAGGGCTCCTCGCTGCGTCGAGCGTTTGTTTGATGCCTCCCTGGACCTTCGGGGGTCTTGTTTTCCTCCTTTGTCAGGAGGACAGTCGCTGTGTCCTCTGCTCCTCGCACCTAGAAGATGTTGCGAAGATTAAGTTTATCTGAAAAACAGGCATCAAACGCTTAGAAAATAACTAAATGCATAAATGATGGCTTATCCTGGGATTTTAAGGAACCGCCTTAAGTAATAGTTTTGCTTTTATCAGTATAGGCCGGTCCTTTCCTTGGGAACAGCTACTAATGAAGCACTTACTATGTGGCAGGCTATGAGTCGGAATCGACTCGAAGGCAACGGATTTGGGTTTTTTTGGTTTTATGTGGCAGGCAAATATTATTGAATTCTTCCAACAATCTTGTGAAGTAGACTCGATTATTATTTTACATCTTAAAAATGATGATACTGAGACTCAGAGAGGCACTATGTACCTAAAATTAAACAGCTAGAAGGTGAAGCGAGGATAAGTGGCACGTTTTGCATTAAGAGTTCAGTTAATGTTTGCTGCAGCTGCTGTTGTTATGGGGGAGGGGCTGGTGGAGACCCTTTCGGGTTCCCTCTTCTGGAACACCATTCTGAAGCAGGGCAGCATTCTGGAATGTCTTACTTTTCTCTGGAGCAGTCTCCTCTGAGATTGTTATTCTTTATCTTGGATTGGGACAAAGAGTAGACTCGAGTTCTTGGAACAGCCTTTTGGATTGATCAAAAGCCATATATTAAAAGTCCAAAAGTCTTGCCCTCTGCAGTCTGCTTCAGCCAAACCCAGATGCCCATGAGAATCACTGGACACTGTGTCCCTGTCAGCTGAAGGAAAGTCTCCATGGCCATTCCTGCAGGAACCTAGGGAGTTTACCTTTAGGGATCTGCTGACCTGGCTTCTGCAGCTCTCGCCCTCTCAGAGGTGGCTCTGAATTTGCCCACCTGGTAGACCTATCACAGTATACAACACTAGCTTCCAGGGGGCACTGGACACTACTCACAGGCAGTTGCTGGAAGGCCAGAAGACCAGGGACATTTCTAGATCCTCCTTCTCCTTATCTGAAGTCCCTGGAAGGAACATGTGATCCAATTTAGCTGCACCCCGGGTGGGGCAGGAGTGCCCAGTGATACCACCTGGGCTGTGACAGATCTAACTGGGCGTGTGTAGCACAGTGCCTGCACATCGGTAATGTTCAGAAAAGTGGTGCTGTGAATCTGGCGATGGTTGGGCTGAGGGATGCAGACCCTCCGAGTCTGCTGAACCTTTTTGGGGAGTGAGATGGGATTGCTCCTCAGAGGGAGCCTCCAGGAAATTTGGGTCCTCTTCAATTCAGAGCGGAGTCTTAAGTTTTAGTCTTATTTGAGAGTTTGGTTGTTTAAGAAAATGTACAGGTTTGGCTTAGGTTTGGATTGGTTTGCTATTATCTCCTTTCTGGAGCTAGATGAAACGGCTCATTTCAGGATTCAGGGAGCGTTAAGTCCAGGTGGGTTTGGGATCCGGCAAAATGATACAGTTCAGAGCCTGGCGTATTTGTTGTCGTTAGGTGCCGTCGAGTCCGTTCCGCTCATAGTGACCCTATAAACAACAGAATGAAAGATTGCCCAGTCCTGCGCCATCCTCACAATCATTGTTATGCTTGAGCCTATTGTTGCAGCCACTGTGTCAGTCCATCTCATTGAGGGTCTTCCTCTTTTTAGCTGACCCTGTCCTTTACGAAGCATGATGTCCTTCTCCAGGGACTGATCTCTCCTGACAACATGTCCGAAGCATGTAAGATGTAGTCTCACCATCCTTGCTTCTAAGGAGCGTTCTGGTTGTACTTCCAAGAAAGACCTGTTCGTTCTTTTGGCAGTCCATGGTGTATTCAATATTCTTCACCAACACCACAATTCAAAGGCATCAGTTCTTCTTTGGTCTTCCTTATTCATTGTCCAGCTTTTGCATACGTATGAGGCGATTGAAAACACCCTGGCTCGGGTCAGGC